GATATACACACATTGAAACTATTTCTACCAATAGATTAAAGACTGATTCTCAAATTAAAACACATGAGGAATGGATTTCAAGAAATAAAGCACTGAAAGATTTTCACTCACTGTCTTTAACTCAATAATAGATACTAATATAGTCATAATATTCAGTATAAATACTTATTTCCCATCACTGAAAAAGTTAAATAATCTTCATGAAAGAGAAAGTGAGTCCCCCTGAGTGTCACTCTGTTTGCATTTTAGCATGCAGCCAGGTCTCTGCCAAGTTGCTCTCTGACTGACTGCTGCAGATGCTCTTTCTCAAGTATTCTGAGTCATATCTTTAGTGCAAGTCTTCAGGGACAAACAATAGCACCTGTTCCTCACAAGATATCGGGCCAGTTAGCCCATTCATGTATCTTTAATGAAGCTCTAGGGCAGATGGCAAAAAAATGGCATCATCAACAACTTAGCCCAGAGAAAACAAAGGGGATAAGTGTTGATGCAACAATGCTGGTTTACGAACAGGAAGAGACAGAACCTAAGTGTTTCACACACATCTGCTGCTGTCTCGATTATCTGAAAGACGTGAGGAACACCCAAGCAATTAAAATTTCTGGGCATGTAGCCTATTTGATCAAGAATGTGGTGCCCACCCTCTCCAAAAGGGAAATGCATTGGTCAGGGATTGTACAAGTTTAAAATTAATGGACAGTTGTACTTTGGGGAATATAGTTTGCTTCAGGACTGTTCTTTACCTATAAGGAGGTTCCTAGATTTTCAAGTCATATAAGTTCCAATAGGCAGCTGGTTAGTGCCACATCTGAAAGTCTAAAAACAATGCATTTTTATGCTCAGAAGTATATTTTTGGTCACATAAAAATTTACTCTTTCTATTAACAAAAATGTTTTTATCCATGGGATAATTAAAGAATGTCCAAATTTGTGTTAAGAGAAAGCTATAGATATTTTAAGAATATATAATTAACTTATTTTCTTACATTATTGTTCTCCCTTCAAGTCGTTCTCCCACCATCACAGAGCCTGTGAATATCACCACAGTTCCTGTACTCTTCCCTCCCAACTTTTGACCCCTTCTCTCCCCAGCTGTTTGCTTGAAGTCTATGTTCAAGAAAGCTACTTTTTCAAGAAATGATGCTATTTGAAATTTTTATAACTTCTTTGAAAAGACATGTGGAGACTGGTCACTCTGATAGAGTGAGGGGAATTTTATTTTATTTTTTAATTCTTTAAGTATAGTATTTTTTGGAGGTGCTGTTTACATTGTGACTGCCTTTCCTGGCATGTCACCAAATGAAAATAGGATGATGAGAGGAAGAGGAAAGGAGGACTACATTCTTCAGAGCAGGGTGGGGCTTTTCTGTAGCTCCAAAATTCTTTATCTGCCCTTGCTCTGGCAGTGCAGTGAACTCAATTCACAACTTCTATAGGAGGAAAATATTTTAGATGCTTATGTGATTCTTGGGTGCTACCAAACTGTCTTTCCTTATCTCTCTCCCCTACCTTGCCCTAACTTTCCACTTTTGTCCCACCTTCAGTCATCAGTCTTCTAATATGTATAGTAGTTGGAAAGTAAGGAAAGGGAGAAATTGTTCCTTTGATTCATATTTTCTGCTTTTATTATTTGTCCTGAGTTATATTGGCGAGTTTCTATAAAAGATATTGGTTAGAAGTATTCCTAGAGCTCCTTTACCTTTTGTTTTAAGGATCTTTAGTTTTAAAGATGTATAATTCCTTGAAAATAAATTAACACTAGAAAATAAATATCATTGGATTGTATCACGGTCAAAACCCTGGCTGTGACATAGGTTTGCAAGATCACTGGGGGAAACTGGGGAACATGAGATCTCTCTGTACTGCTTATTACAGCTGCAATGTAAATTTGTAAAACTTGTGATCAAATAATTGTTATCACAGAGAATTATATTCCTTATCTCACTTATTTGATTAACAAAAGGTGACTTCATGATACTTATAAAGTAGTACTAAAAAGAGTATAGACACTGAATATAACATACCTGGACTTGAATCCTCACTGTGCCAATTTTTAATTGAGCAAGTTACATAACCTCTTATGGGTTTGTTTTTCTCATTAAATGAATGAAAACTATTATAATTTTCTCATAAAGTTTTAAGGATTAAGTGAGGTAGAAAATGTAAGTCATTTTGCAAGTGCTTAACAAGTAGGAAACACTAGAAAATATTAGCTTCTATGTCTCAGCTCTATCAAGCTATCAGCAGCCACTGTAGCATGAGTTCACTCCCCAGCCAGGGAGCTGACCCACATAACACAGCAGACTTCTCCTGGCTTGCCCACTGCTCCCCTCAGCTATAAATTTCAGTAGATCTGCCTGTTCTGCTCCCCACTCTGTCTCTGAGTTATTTCTTGTTTCTTTATGTGAGCTTGTATTGCTATATATTTCCCTTTTATAACTGCTTTTAATGTGCCCCATAAGTTTTGGAAAGTTGTGTCATCATTGTCATTTTTCTCAAGGTATTTTTTTTAATTTCTTCTTTGATCTCCTCCTTGATCCAGTGGTCCTCCAGTAGTGTGTGTCACTCTGTCTCTGGTGAATCTTCTCACTCCCTAAATCTCTGGCCTACACTCCAGTTTTCGTATGCATCATTAAATAAAAAAATACACATTTTTTTTTTTTGTAAAAAAGAAGCCCATTAGTTGATACTGATGCCCATTAAAGTCTAAGAGTCACTGCTCTAGATTAAAATTTAGTGCAAACTTTATATGAAGGTTGGAGTCACCCTCCAGCACATCTGATTCATAGGTCTAAGAGTCAAGTCATCTGCTTTCCTAAAATTCTCAGATGTGGAGCCACACACTTCGAGAACTGCTAGGTTAGATCATCTCTAAGCTCTATTTCAACTCTATGCTTCCATTATTATTGTTGATTTTATGGTGTCTTCTGTCCCCACTCCTTATTTACTTTTCCCCATGATTTACTGAAACTGCTGCTGGGCTAGTTTTTTCATTTAACTTCCCCAAATCTCTTTCGTTGGAACCTAGTTTTGCCCTTTGTAACCACTCAAACTTAGTTTGGTTCTTTTTTATATACATCATTCCTTCAAATATTTAAAGAAACTTATACTTCTATCTCCCAAGTTCAATAGTCCTTATTTTTTTCAGACACCTACTCTATATCCATAAGCTTCAATAATCACTTGAAATTTGTTAAATGAAAGAACTAATAAACATGATTAAGCTAGACATGTCATTGTACTAGGTTCTAGATACATGCTAGGCCCATATTTCTAGAAGTAAATGAAACATTTTCTTTTGATATACTCTTGTACTGAGCAATGGCCACCCACAAAAATATTGTGTTTTATTTTTTGACAGAACAGTGGCTTCATCTTAGACACTTCAGGTTTGTATCAGGTCACAGCAAGCTGGAGTTGAACAGTAAACCTAGAGCTTTCCTTCAGGGTTAAAGGCAAGACCTGGGCACTAGGGGATCAGCTCCAATTTAAGCAGGCTAAGTTTGTACTCTAATGTACAAAACTTGGGCTTACCTCAGCTAAAATGGAAGAAATAGCTGCCCAAAGCTAGTTTCTTTCACGCCCCACTGGCAAGGTAGTAATTGCACAAAGACCTTTTTATTATAAGTTGATTTTCCTGAGAAATGAATTCAGAAAAATACTGTAAAGTGTTTATTTTTTGCTTGCCCTTTATTAACCCACATCTTAGGGCTTTCCCTAGAGAAAAACTGTTGGTAAATGAAACCTCTTAGACCCACACAGAAGCATTTTCTCACTCTGTCCCTGGCTGTGGAGGCAACAGGGACAGGACAAGGCAAGTTGGTGCTATTTAAACAGGGTCATCAGCTACTATATGGAATTTTGCCTAAAGAGAAGATTTAGGAATCTAAGTGGGGGAAGGGTTTGGTGTTGGTAGAATTACTGGTAAAGGTTTGGATCTTAAATTGGGTATAATGTAGTCCTCTTATACTAGCAAAGAGCCCAAAGACCCAGTTTGAATTTAAAGATCATCCTGTTAGTACCACTTGGTTTCAATTTTTACATTACAGAAGTCCTATAGGTCAATTTAAAGTATCAAGCCCCAAAAGCTATGACAAGACATTCTTGTGACATTACCCCGGATTCAGGGCAGCATGCATAGAGTAAAGAAGGGAACTAGGAAATTAAAATGTGATTTTCACAGACATGATTCTGTCATAGCTCTTATTTTCTTTATATGGAATACAAATACTGATATAGAGTGAAGATTTTCTCTTTTGCATTTTTGTGCTCTTTGATAACGTTTATTGAGGTCAAATGAAATTTGATATAGTAGGATTTATTATGAAATGTTCTCTGAATACAACTCCATAATTACTGAGCTACATGGTAGTGCATAAAGCTGTAAAACTGCTTAGCCAGACAAGCAATTTATATGTTACATCGAGGTGTGCATGGCAAAGAATATTAGTTTAATTGGAAACCAAGATGTAGTGGCCTTAAATCTGAACAGCTATATGTTTAACATAATGTAGTGAGGCTTTGAAATAAGATACCTAAACTGAGAAGATACCGCTTTTGAAATATATAACAATTAGACATTATTTTCTGACCAAGGGTACTAAATATCATTTTCAAAATAAAGCACAGAATGCAAAGCAGGTGAAAGGGCAAAGCCTTTGAACATTGTACGATATAAGAGACAGTTTATTTCTCCCGTTTTTTTTTTGTTTGTTTGTTTTTAAAAAAAGGAAAAAATTCAAGATAAAAGAAAGCCATTCAATTTAGTGGAAACATGGATGAGGCAAATTCACAATGAGTTTATGCCCTTGGCGTGCTAATGGATCTCAGAAAAAGGAATTGGGTGGATTTTTACCTAGATTTTTCTCAAGGAACAGTTCTGGGATGAGGTTAGAAGTGGGTGGCTGTTTAGGTACCGGAATGCTACCAGGAGTGAAAAACAAATATTCTTGGCATACACTTGCTCTCTGTCTGATCATAGGCTCTCTTCTGTTTAGCAGGTTCAGGGTCACATGCCTCCGCTCATGATCCCAATTTTTCCACATGACCAGCGGACCCTGGCCGCAGCTGCTGCTGCCCAACAGGGATTCCTCTTCCCCCCTGGAATAACATACAAACCAGGTAAGTAGAGAGGGATTTGATGCTCTTTTGGAAATGCTAAAATACACATGTTTTTGCTTAGTAGTCACTACATCAGAGGTGCATATGAAAGAAATATGAATAAAAAGAACATAAAAGCTTATTTTAACATAAGTTTAGTATTGGAAAGGTAATTGAGAAGGGGGAATATTGATGAGTGCATTGGTTGCTAAATACTTTTACTTTTTCTTCTTTCACTTGAGTTTGTTCTGAATTCACAGGTGAAATGCTACTGGCTCTGAGACTACAGATTTTCCCCCAGCTTTCTCATATCTTTACTGTGAATAACTGTCTTTGGTTAAATATGCTTTCTTCTTTCTGAGAGCTTTTATGCTTTGGAAGATTTGGCCACAGAGAGTCTAAAATGTTGTCATTGTTTGTTGTCTGATTTGTCTTGGAAGAAAAGTTAAAATAGATTTAATTAGCTTAATACTAATAGGTAAAATTCTTTTTGATTTTAGTATAAATAATGAAGCATTCAGAAATATTTTCTCATTCATCTTTGAACCTCAAAAAACAGGTCACATAACCTTTCAGTGAAATATGTTTTGAAATGATTTAGCAAATGTTATGATTTTTCCTTATTCCTCTGAGTTTACTGGACTCCTGGGGAATTCAATTAAGGCATAATGGTTTGAAGCTTCTTTTAGGACCTCCTTGTAAACAGTGCTTTAAATGTTTAAAGATATGTTGCCAAAGGAATCCAATGTAAGAAGATAGTCAAGTAAATAAAAGTCAACCTTAATTTCATTTGTGAATTCTTTGTAAGTGACCTCAGCTTAGAAGTAGTGACCTTGTTCTACTCATTAATAATTTCTGAGTCAAGTTTTTTTTTTTTAAATATATTAACCTGAGTATATTAACCACCACATTTGACTGCAGTCGTTTCTTTATTTATGGGATTTAGAAAGTGAAAAGAGGCAATTTTACTATGCTTAAAGAAATAATAAAATATAAATCAAGATTCTAAAATTCTCAGTAAGGAAGCTAACTAACTAGCATAAAAACAAATCTATTTAGTTTTAACATCTTTAAAATTGCCTGTTGCCATCAATTATTTTTGTGTTTGATAGAGAATCCCTTTTGTAAGTAAAACTCAGATGATTCAAAGAAAAGAAATATAAAGAGACTGGCTAATTTAATGACTGACCTTGAAAATTCCCTCGATATAATTAGTCAAATTTCTAGTTATCGCAAAAGGTTTTTGGATATAGAGTAAAAGAAAAATTGTTATTAAAATTGTTCCCTTTTTATATACTAGAAATTTTACATCTTGTTATTCTGCCTACCTATGAAATTGGTATCCATATTAAATAAAGGATTATATATTGTCTGAAAATATCAATACATGTCCATCAGTATATTGGCTTGCTCATTTATGGTGCTTTAAGGAGCTTTGAAAGATTTCTTGGGAACTATATCTCCCTTTGGAACACTGATGTAAACTAAATTTACTAGTTTATCCTGATTATAATTCATCATCATTTACCATTCTTAGAAACCTTTTACATATATGTGGAAACTGTTTATTTAATTTTAGTTTTTTAAAATTAAAATTCTTCACTTTTTAAAATCAGATATGGGCCTTATTTTCTGTTAAACATAAACATCAACAGAGTTAATATGTTAGTTAATTTTGTAAAACAATAGTGTTTATTTTCATGGGGAAGATATTTTTATAGAGTCAATGAATTTCTAATTTCTGACCATTATTTTTTTTTTCAAATAGAATCAATGAGAATGTAATATGTAACTGAGCAAGATAGAGAGACAATATAAGAAAAATATGATGCAGGCGTAAGTCACCTCCATTAAGGCCTAACATCAACATAGGGCAGTGTCCTGAGGAAGCGACCTTACATATGGTTATGTTAGTGACACCTTGTAGGGGAAGGAAGGGCAATGGATTTGGACATGTAGGATGATTTTTCATCACAAGTAAAGCTATTGTGTAAAGAGCACCCATAATTTATGTCAGGAAATTTAATTAACCAGAACTCTTATTCTTTAATACTTTGACTTGTCCAAGCTTTATTGTCTAACAAAATTCAACCTAAATGGATTAAAGTTATATATTCTTATATTATTAGCTGAGAAATTATATACTCAGGAGATGTATTCCATGCAGTGTTATTCTTGAAGAGAAATATACTAGTGGATGTGACTCTGGACAAAAAAAATAATTCTTGTGCCCCAAATGAGCTGTATTATCGCTTTGCTTTAAAAACATGTGAGACAATGACTAAAATTTAATAGTGAGTAGGTTTGTCACATATAAACCTTGAAATGGTGACTGGCCACCTTTATATTTTTGTCCCCCAAGTAATATGAGCAAATACTATAAATTATCAAACAATTGGTTTGCCTTTTAGCCCTTTTCTAACTTTCCATTGCTAAAATAATTCTACAATTCCCATGGTGTTTGTGCCTCCAAACACTTTGGAATTGAATGATTGTCTTCATTTTTAAAGATTAAGAGTGAAATTTACTGTCAAAGTTGACTGCCCCCGAATCCATGTAAGGATAATCTAAACAAATATATTTAAGTTTATGGACCTTCTCACCATTAGATAATTTAACCTATTGCTTTGGGCATTTCATGACCCTGTATTCATTCAGTGAACACCAAGCAAGTTCTCCCACCTCAGTGGGTTGTTAAGGTGACATACTGCCTGTAAAGGATGACACAGTTTCAGGGAAACATCCAAATCAGTCTCTTTGTTGATCTTTAACCCCAAATTAAGAAAAAAAATGTTACCGGTTCTATAGTTAGAGACATCTTTCTAGGAAAGAACTCATCAGGACCAGAACATATACCCAGCATTGTGGTTGCTTTGCCCTTCCACATCAAATACTGAGAGAAGCAACAAGACAGGATAAAATAAACACATTTTAGCACCTAGATTTGAAAAAAAATAAAAGATTAAGCCTCTTTCGTAGTGTATCAGATCAAGACTGCATTGCCAGTGAAATAAAAACAATGAATAGTCTATTTCTTTCACTGAAGATCATGCAGTTGACCCATGTATATTGCTTAGCTGGAATTTTTCAGATGATTGCTGCTAGTGCAGCCCTTGAAGTTTCCTACGAGATGCTACTTGCTCCTGGCTTCTCCATTCATTTGTTAGCTGTAATATGATAATAGCTAAGTAATAATGACTTTTGTGCCAAACACTGTGCTAAATATTTTATATGGATTATTTTATTAAATTCTTGCTTGACATTTCACTTAACCTTGCTGAGCTTTGTAATTTTTGTAATCTATAGGAAATGTCATTATTTATCCTCTGCTCAGTGTGGTATGAAGATTAAATTTGTTAAAATGTCTGAAAATTCTTTGAGAATTCTGCACTAGGTTTATTGGCAAAGTCTGACTGTGAAATGGTATATTTGACTACGTTAAATTTCAACTTTATTGATTAGAAATGTGACCCCAAAACTGAACATTTCATTGAGATGTCTGATTATTCTTTAATATTTCTATTAAAATATCATGGTAAGGATGGTTGCAGGAGCTTAAATAATAATAATAATGAACAATTATTTACAAGAGACATTTTATGGGGATGGAGTGGGGGATGGAATCAAAAATGGAGGGAGGAGTGCACGGGACTATGGTGATGGCACACAGGTGACTTGGTGATGGGAAGACCACAGCGATTACAACTGAGATGGAAAAAGACACAAAATGTTGTAAAAATAAACTTATAATAAAAAAAATGTACCATGGTAAATTATACATAAATACTAATACGAATACACAAATACTAAGCTTCGTATTTAACATGTAACAATTTTAATGCACAACTTTGTTGGCATTAATACATTTGTATTGTTGTGTAACCATCACTGTTATCTATACCCCAAACTTACTCTCATTCCCAGTAAAAGCTCTGTGGGCATTAAACAGCTACTTTCCCTATCTCCTACCCCTGACTCCTATTAACCTTGTTACATTATCTTAGCCCATGAACGTGCACATTCTAGTTATTTCATGTAAATGGAATTATACAGTATTTATTCTTCTATGTCTGATTTAGATTACTAAGCATAGTGTTTTTGAACCCCATTCTTTTCATGTATCAAAAGTTCATTCCCTTTTATGGCTGAATAGTATCCTATTTGTACATATGTCTGTCTGCTAACCTAGTCACCTGAGTTTTTCCATTTTAACCATTGTGAAAATGCTTCTGTGAATATTGATTCACAAATATTTGTTTGAATCCCTGCTGCCAGTTCTTTTGGATATTAAGTTTATACAAACATATATACATATAAGTAGAATTGTTGGGTCATTATCCTATGCTAAATTTTTGAAAAACTGCCAAACTCTTCCTTTAGAAGCTGCACCATTTTACATAACTATAAACAAATAGGAGAATTCAAGTTTTCCCATATACTCATCAACACTTGTTATTTTCTAGTTAAAAAGTTATATATAGCCGTTTTAGTCAATGGGAAGTATAGTGTCTCATTGTGATTTTTATTTCCATTGTCCTAATGATTAATGGTTTTGAGCCTCTCTACATATATTTATGGAAATTTTATAGTTGTTGAGAAATGTCTGTATGAGAAATGGTCATTTTAAAATTGGTCTGTTTATTTTTTATTGTGGAATTTCAGAAGTCCTTTATATATTCCAGATATAAATCTCTTATCAGAGATATGATTTACAAACATTGTCTACCTTCTGTAGGTGGCCTTTTCACTAAGTTGTGCCTTTTCATACACAAAAGTTTTAAATTATGATTAATTCCAATTGATCTAGTTTTGTTGATGTTACCTGGTGTCACATGGAATCATTCATGAAGATTTACTTATAGGATTTCTTCTAAGTTTAGATCTTTTAGTTACTAAATTTATATCTTATTCATCTTAATCAGTGTTTAATATGGTGTAAAGTAAGCATAAAATGTCATTCTTTTACAGGTGACTATTCAGCTTTGCTAGCACCATTTATTGACAAGATGTCCTTCCCCTGTGAATGGTCATGACATAGTTGTCAAAAATCAATTAATTATACATGTCAGGTTTTACTTCTAGGCTCTATATTCTGTTTCATATCTCTGTCTACTTGTCTACCTATGTATCTATCTATTCTTATACCAATACAATTCTGCTTTGAATACTACAACTTTGTAATAAATTTTGAAGTCAAAAAGTATGACTCTTTCAACTCTAGTCTTCATGTTTAGTCTTCAAAATTGTTTTTGGCTATTAGGGCCCCTGAAATTCCATATATATTTAAAGATCAACTTTTCCATTTCTGTGAAAAAGACTTGGAATTTTGCTGGAGATTACACTATATCTGTAGATTGCTTGGGTACTACTAGCCTTTTAATAGAGGCAAGCCTTTGTGTAAATAGATGCCTTCTCATTATTTGTTTTCTAAAGTAAGTTACTTCCTTACTTTTTATTGGACTGTTTATATTTTATATGTCTTCTTGCAGCAGTTCAGGTAATTTATGTGTTGTAAGTAATTTGTCCTTTTATTCTAAGGATGCTTAATTTGTTGATGTATAATTGTTACCTAATATTTCTTTTTAATTCAGTTGTTGCAGCTAGTATTTAATTGAGCACCATTTGTTTGGCTATACACACATTACATATATATACTATATACATGCATACATACATACACATATATATGTATAGGGTTATGTTTTATTTGGGGGACTGTATTATATATACCTTCTAACTTTTTTTTTTCAAAGATTTATTTATTTATTTATTCATACAGAACTGGGGTACAGACCAGAGATGCGGAGGGTGAGAGGATTCACCAGGACAGAGTGGGGAGCAGAACAGGCAGATCGATGAAGTACACTGCTGAGGGGAGCAGCGGGTTGGTCAGGAGAGGTCTGCCACAGCATGTGGATCTCCTCCTGGACAGGCGGGGATCGAACTCATGTGGAAGTGGCTTAAGCTTCTTAGTGCAGTGCTTTAAGCCACTGCGCCACCAGGGAGGGCCCGTAAAATCCTTCTAACTTTTACTGCATTATAACATTTTAGAAAATTTAGATTTGGTTGTGGTAGTCCTTAAAAATATAGAATATTTAGAAACTTCTACTATTCTGAATACATATGTCAAAACAGGTTGCAAAGTGACATGCCCAACCCTTTATTAGTCATTGGTTGGGATTGAAATACTTCCATAGTACAGCAAGAATGACAATAACTCATAAAAGTGGGGTCTATCTATAGATGTTATTTGTAGCTTAAATAATTTACTGTTACCCTGTGATGCTAGCATACAATAATATGTGAATAAAATAAGGGAGTATGTTTTTCTTTTGTTTTTATGGGTGGAAATAAGATATGAGACTGGAGTCCCACTTTGAACAGTGACTGAAGGATCTCTGAGTCCTGTCTCCTATGTTAATATACTCTTCTACAATAGTCTTCCCAACCTAAAGTATTTCTTCAGTAGATTAATATCTGAAGTTAATATTAGGAGAAAACTATAACTATCCCAACTCTTGTCATTCTGTAAAATCAAAGTAAATGGATAGATACTTCCACACAGATTTTTGGCTCTTAGGTAAAAGTAAATTTATATATGAACTATACAAAGTAAGTATATTCTTACAGGAAGTAGCCTGAGTCTAATAGACCCTAAATTCTTACACAGCTCCCTCTTTTCCTATGTTTAAGTTTTAACAAGTTTTGACTTCATTTCAGTTTCCCAGATAATTGAAACATCTACTTGATCTCAGTCAGGCACTTTTGCTATAGAGGTGCTTTCATTCCAAAAGAATGTTGTCTATGGGCCCTCCCTGGTGGCGCAGCGGGTTAAAGCACAGCACTAAGAAGCTTAAGCCACTTCCGCATGAGTTCAATTCCCACCTGCCCCCGGAGGAGACCACATGGCGTGGCAGACCTCTCCTGACCCGCCCGCTGCTCCCCTCAGCAGTGTACTTCGTCGATCTGCCTGTTCTGCACCCCACTCTGTCTCTGGTGAATCCTCTCACCCTCCGCATCTCTGGCCTGTACCCCAGTTCTGTATGAATAAATAAATAAATCTTAAAAAAAAATGTTGTCTATTCTGACAAGTAAAATTGAATTCAGGCAAATTTTCCATAGGTCTTAAAATTCTGTTTTGTGTTTACTGTATAGTCTTCAGATAAAAGTAGTCAATTGGAGAAAGTAGAAGGTTGGAAAGAGGGATTTAGGAATGGGCATTATTTCCTAAATTGTCATTTGGTAGTTGTATTCTTATACTAGAGGTAACAAGGGCCAAATTACAGTAATGTCTAAGACCAACCTGTTCTGACAAGCTTCATCTTCCTTTGTTTAAATTTAAAAAGAATGGTTCCTCACGCAAGCATTTCACATCCAGAGACAAATTTGAAAAAAATTGCTACAACATGTTGACTGATTCTTTGCCAACTCAGTCACTGAGAACTTTTTCTTGATTGACTCTTACACGGAGAAAATTAGAGTGGTGAGGATGCTGTAACTTTGTTATTTAAAAAAAAAAAAAGTAATCTTCACAGTACCTTAAATCTCTCTTGCTTGCATTTTTCTTTTCTATTTTTAAAACCCCTCTCTTGTTTACTTTCTCCTCTCCACACTTTTTATTTTTCACTCCTAATCATTCTCTGTAATATACTGTGTTGCTCTAATTTATTCATTTTTACTTTTGGTATTGATACAATGATGTGTTCTGGAGAAATAGCTTTCTAAAGATTATCTTCAGAGATAGAAATTCAAGACAGCAGAAAGGTTAAGAATGTTTTTAAAAATATGCTTGTCAGCAATGGAAAGAAAGCTGTTTGTAGCCAGCAGGTGAGCTGGAGAGTACTACAGGGTGTGGTAGAGATAATAATAAATTAACTGGCAAGCCAAAAAATATAAAAAAAAAATCAGCTATTTCATAGCATAGAAGCATGACAGCTATGAAAAAAGGAGTGCCCCAGGGAATTCTTTTAGAGTTTGATTTTTTTAAATATGTTTGACATGAAAAATGTTTTAGTACAAATAAAGCAACTGGTATTAAACTTACAGGGAGGGGGGTTGTGGTTTAGAGTTAGTATGAATAATGCATGATATTTAAAGACAGAACAGCTCTAAAATGTTCCGGGAGGCAATCCATGTTGATGATTGGAATGGTGATTTTTCCCCCTATTTTTGAAGCATCATTAATTCAGCATCGTTTTGTGATTTTTTTTTTAACCTGATAAGATATCGACCAAAGAAATATTATTTGCCTTAGATTAGAATATTCTTTCTTGAGATAATTTAGTTAAGTATCAGGAAGATCAGTGGAATTATTTAAGCATAAAGCAACAGTCATTTTGTATAAAAAATAATTTGGTCTAGTTATCTTTTTAAAAAAGCTCATGTAGTATTGCAAACCAAAATCAACCTCATGGAAGGGGAAAAACAGGATCAGATATTTTGAACATTACTCCATAGGAGACCAGCACAATATAGTGTTAGTGAATGCATTGTAGCAGCGCTCCATATGCAATCAGAAGCCAATTGTTACTGGACTGTGTACAAGCACATACTGTGCTCAATGGTCTGATGAGGTATTATGGATATGATGCAAAGAGACTGTGTAGATTAGAAGCTAACAATTTGTTAAAAGTGAAAGCGACTTAACATTTACATTGGGCCAGCTGAGTAACACTTCATGTGGCAAGCAGGATGAGTTCCAAGGAACCAGAAGTATCAGGAAGGCTCCAGGTATTAGTGTCCGTGCAGAAAAGAGTTTTATTGCCTTCCAGTTGACTACCTTTATTACTGTCTTTTTTTTTTTTTTCTCTACACTGTCTCTTCATTATTACATTCAGATTTCTGTGTGGAAAAGTTCATGCAAAATAGCATGATTATTATAAATGTCAAAAATGTGTGGAGGAACAGCCTATTAAAATATAGCCTAGAGATAGTACATAACACTGACTTTCAATAAGAAGCTGAAGCCAAAGTGATACTCCATTAAATCACTGATAGTGTGTAATTTATATATAAGTATTAATTTTGATTTCAGTTACCACTATCACAGTACATTTCTCCACTTTCTCTTGGTTCTTCAGGTCACTGCACATATCTGGCATTCACAGGTACAGAAGGGATTTCTGTTCTCCTGTTTAGGACGGATTTGGAGTCAGAATGACCTTACAATGTAATATTGATCTCTGCTGAGCCTTGCTCAATCTCGGCCAGACTTTTAATACAGATCTCTCATGTAAAATGTGTGATTATTTAACCAAATCATCATCAGCAAATAAGCGATAAGTGTCTAATGTACATGATTGTGTGCAATGTTCCACCGGTAGTCCAGAAAAACATGGTTTCTACTCTTATTGGACTACCAATAAGAGTAGAAGGTTGTTCACCAAGCTTGGTTTCATGCTCATCCCTATCAAATTGAAGAGGTGGCGTTTATGCTGTTTCCCTTTTTTCTTTTTCTGCAGAATTAAGTGTAGAGTTATGGCCAATCAGTAACTTATAATCTTTTGTGGACTTTAATACTCTGCCTTGCCTACCATGCCAAAACTTTTGTTGTTCTGATAAAAAGCCCTAATGCTTTCTCAGTGAACTGAGTGTCAGCCTGGCTTTAAGATATTTTTTTACTCCTAAAAAAAATGATGTATTACAAGATTTGTAATGGAGTGAACATGCTTGAATTGCACATTTAATTTTTTTAACATCACATTCATGTTTTGCCAGTTTGCCTACCAGCTATCTGTTAACAAAAAGTTCCAAAGCAGCACTGCAAGTCTGTGCCCAACTAAGCCTTTTGTTTCTGCAGATGTTTGGGCTTAGAGCAATGTTGTAAAGCTCAGGCAATCCAAGGACCATGTTTGTACTTGTCGACTGTGATTCCCTCTGCATTGTCTAAACCTGTTTGCATTGTTCTTTCCGACAGGTGATAACTACCCCGTACAGTTCATTCCATCAACAATGGCAGCTGCTGCTGCTTCTGGACTCAGCCCTTTACAGCTCCAGGTAAGTGCCAGAAGGAAAATGTGGGATGTGCGCCAGTACTTTAGTGGAGAACTGCTAACCAGCTGTATGCTAAATAATGGTCTGAATGTTAAATAATTTTTTAAGCATAGCTTAGAAGGATTAACACCTTATGTACCTACCATGTTGCAAATAATAGAGAAATGGCCAGTTTAAATATTTTCCCAGGAAAAATGACATTATAACAGTACTATACATTCTCTTAAAGATGAATTAATGGCTTTATAATTTTATATGGCTGGTTGTTGGATATGTTAGTTTTTTCTTGATAAAGTTTCCATTCATTCATATTTTTTTGCTGATTAGCTTATAAGTATAAGCATCAAAAACAGGAAATGATGTTGGGTATTTTCCTTCTTCTACTATCTCCCTAATAGTAAAGGGAGCTGTTATTTTAAAATTTAATATGTGGTAAAATGCAAGCCACATTGTTCTTGAATAAATGTATGCTCATCCTTTCTGGGGTTAAAAGTCTGGTTATAGTGTCTAAGTTTGGGATTACTCTTTATTTGTAAATCTTAAGTCAGAGAGAAAGTGTTTGGAAGTGGAATACAAATTCATTTGCACTTTATTTTCTTTACAGTTAAATGAGAGGTTTACAAAAGGAATGAGTGATCTTACACCCTTCTAGCACTAAATTTTAGTGGGAAATTGATCTCAAGGGAATATATGTTTTAACAAATAAAGATTATTAAAATAAATGGTTCAGTGTTTTAACAGGTAGAAATATATGATAACTTGAATTTCAATACAGAAGAAAGTTTATATGTAGTTTTTATCATCATTTACTGTGATTATTTTTTTAATTTCTTAGGCAATATAGGGATTCACATCTGACTAGGTATTTATATTTCTTCTCTACTATCCCCTATGACTTGAACATAAAAAAAATACAGATATTTTGCCATGAAAGCATCATCTTAAGCATATTCAAAGGGTCTGAAAATCAAGAATTTCTTTCAATATTGGTAATTTTTTTGTCACAAGCCTCGTTCAATAAACCTTAAAGATGTTCCCCATTGTGGACTGCCTGGCAGAGGTAGAAATTTTGCTAATCGGAGCAGCAACCATTCCTCTCCCAAACCTTCACCTTCTTCATTACTAACACTGGAACTTACAGTAGTTGATAAAAATCTAAAAAGAAACCTCACTCATAATAAACTTAATCTTATATCTTCTTGTTCCATAGCTATGCTATAGATTATCTTCTTGAGTAAGAGCCAGAAATAACAAACCAGTACCATGTTTTAATCCTATAACCACGTTTTGATGAAAGAATGTGTGGGTTCTAAACTTCTGCTTTCTGTTCTTTGTTGTGGGCAGTACCCTGATTTAGAAAATGTGTTCTGTTTCATGAGTTCTGACACTATGCTTTGTCTTTTTTTTTTAATATGCTACTAAACAGAAGGGTCATGTCTCCCACCCACAAATTAACCCAAGGCTAAAGGGCCTAAGTGACCGTTTTGGCAGGAGTTTGGACACCTTTGAACATGGTGGTGGCCATTCTTACAACCACAAACAGATTGAGGTATGAATGCTTCCATTGGTGCTTCTTTGGGTGGGGGACTGGAATGTTCAGTCATACACTAGTTTTTTTTTTTTTTTTTTTAAAGTGACAAGCACTCAACCTAAGCACTATGCAATCTTCCCCTTTTCCCTACTCCTAGGAGAGCTCATTTTTGCTCCTTTTCTTTCAATGACAAAGGCAAACCCCAAACGAATGTTTGTGAATTTAGTGTTTATTGCTCTATATTTGGCAAATTCTTTTCATCATGGGGTCTTCCCATTTACATTAGTCCTCTTACTCCTTTGCTTTTTAATGTATTATGCTAAATAGTATTTAAAAACTTAAATATTTATAAAAAAATGTCCTTTGAACATATCATCTGAACCCTGTAAAGTTGATAAAATTTTGCTTGTAAACAAAAATAGTGGAGGTTCAGAAAGGTCAAGTTACTTAACCAAGGCTACAAAATATTCATGGTGTCGTCACAACTACTACCTGAATCAAGGTTTCTGATTCAGTTTTCTGAGACTGAAGTGGGGTTGGGTATTTGGGCCAGACTACTTTTTTTGTTTGTTTGTCTCACAATAAACATCTATAGTATTCCATTTAGATTAAACTCCCAGCAAAGTTCCTTTTTGGCTTTTGTGAGATAGTCTTACCCATTAGAAGATAGCTTGTATGGTTCTTTTGAAAACCAAGTCCTTTTCTGCTACAGGGATCCTGTCTTTCTCTCTCCAATTTCATGCTTAATTCTGCTCCTATATCATTGGAGTTCTTCTTTGGGACTCTCAGATACTTACTGGAGAGTTGCCAGGTATATGTTGAATCACGAAAGAATGGAAACAGGTTGCCTCTAATTGAAATACACTTTAGCTTTCTGGGTAAAATTTAATATTGGGAAATTCAACTAAAAAAAAAAACAAAAGAAAAGAATTGTATATAGCAAAGTTGTATAACCGGCTCCTATTGGCTTTGCCAGTTTATACATATCAAACACTAGTAATCAGTAAAGTGTCCCTTTGGCATTCTCTTCTTTGCATGTGAATCTGCATTTTATTTTATTTTTTTCCAAAATGATAAAGTTCACTCCTAAGAAGAAAGATGAAGACAAGATCAAAGGCCACCTTGGGGGTAGCCTAAGGAAGAGTTTCAGAATTTGTTGTCTCCCTTTTACTTCCCTTTCACTTTGATATGCAGTACACAGGGGGTTTCCACCCAAACATGACCAGGCATATACTGTCAAAGTATCTGCTGTCTTCTATACACCTAGAAGGAATTTCATTTTTTAAGACTTTCTTTTGGTTGTAGAGAAGGTATGATATTTCTGGACATTCTGAAAAATCTGGCACAGTTAGGAGGGCAAAACAGAGTGATAACTTGATTTTTTAAGAACAAGATTTTCTGTATAATGACATATAGTAAGTTTATTAAACTTTAGAGTCTTCAAAAAATATGAAATCAGGTAGACTTGGCTCAAATTCAAATTTTCCCTTCCTTTTTGACTTTTATTTTCTCTTGAGATGAATTCTAGTCCATTAATCTTCCTTTAGCCAATTTTCTACTCAGTTTTCTCTTTCACTTAATGATGTTGTCTCTCTTCTATACCATCACCCTCTCTAATGCTGTCAAGTCTGGTTATTTTTCTACTTTTTTGGACATGTAATATCATATAGATGAGTGCTTTACCTCAGTAGCTTTGAGCAGTGCTAACCAAGAAGCACAATATATGCCATAAATCTCTTACTTTAGTTAGACTAAATTAGGAGCCCGTTAATATGGTTGTCCTCATAGTTTTGCCATTAAAGTTTTAGACTCATTTGAGTGTCCTGGGTTTATATACTTTCTTGCTTAGTTCTTTTTCTTGTTTTTTTTTTTTTTTAATATCTTCATCCTGCGTATTAGAAAATGTTTGCTTTATTTGCTTGTATGAACACTGGTTAGAAAAGATCAACCTTCTTTGTAAAGGCAGGTTTCCCAAACTTACCTGGTATGAATAAGGCATTTCTATTGGGACATCCATGAGCAGTACAGTGGAAAACAATATCGAAACTGCTGCAGTTTCAGCAAATCTACAGCAAAAGTAGAGAGAAAATTTAATATTTTGCTTTGTTGATTTTAAAGTCTGCTTTCTTTTCTAGCTAGTATTTTCTACCCTCTTTGACAGTCTAAAATGTGCAGTTCTGTCAACAATCAATCATAATCATGATAATCTGTTGATACTTAAGAAACATTGTAATTATGTTAGTACAGAAACAAAGATTCTTAGGAAGAATGGCACCCAGTAACACCTATTTACCAACACACACTCCCTCTCCCACTTCCAAACACGCCCTGCTGCATTGTTCAGAACTGGTCCTCTTTACTTAACATTACATTTCATTTGTCCTTCAAAGGTTTTCACTCCTAACATAGTGAGCCTTCATGAATCTTCACAACATTCATAGTTATATCATAGATGCCTGAAATTTTGTTATCAAGTAGGGAAAAGATATTTGAAACAGGTCTTTCTTTAAGATAGGAAGATGCAAGAAAGGTTTTATTTTTTTGGCACACTGTGCCGGTGTACACTAAGGCATGGTTTTCTTTGCCTCAGGGGCACCATTTAAGAGAGAGAAGGCCAAAGAGTGCTATTTTTAGTTGAACAGTTCAGCAGATGGAGGCATGAATACTCATATGTCTGAGGGTTGAGGGGCTTGAACCATTAATTTTGATAATGAATTAAACCCTGGGAACAATCAGAAACTGGAACTCTAAGATTACAGTGCTTTTGACCTTTAGAGAACAGAGGGCACTTGCTACAGTAAACAATATATTATATTGCTACTTATTTCAATTCTCTCACCCTTATAAATTTCAAGACCAGTTGCCATTTGCTTTCCTTAGCTATGTTAGCATTGGTCCTTCAAGTAAGTCAAAAAGAATGTTAAGGAAGGGGTGAGGGAGTATAATGAGGTAGTCATGTAAATATGGCCTTTAAATAGCCAAGATGTTATATTGTGCCCCAGAAATACTGTCTCAGAAACTAAGCTCTGTATGACTTTTTTTAAGTGAAAAAGCAGTTTTAGCATATTGATTCAGTTCATGTGGTTACGTTCATTATGATAGGTTCTTAAATTAATTTTTGTTTTGTTTTTAATTGGGAGTAATGTTGCCTCATACTTGTAGATTATATTAAACACAATCTGGTGCTATATCATGCAAAATGATACACCTGTCTCATACCTTCTTATTAAATGATGCATGCTTCTCTTTAGCAAATACAGCAGTTAAATATCACACAGCTTAAGAATTTCTAATTAAAATAACTCCACATGTCAGCATATTGGTAATGTATTATTTTAATCCATTTATTTTGTTTATGAAACAGTGACATATGTTTAGATTGTGAAATATATGAGCCTTAAAAATCACTTTATTGAAGAAAATTAATTCCTACAGTACTGTCTCAGTAATGTGTTCACTCACCCAGTCAGTCACTGGCGGCACTGCCAGTCTTAATGTTGGATAGACACACTTACCATTTTTATCTGCATAACAGTCTTGGAAAGAAGCAATAACTGTTCTTTTCCTGAGTTCCAAATGATCAGGTCTTTCTTTCTTTGCTTTTTTCTCCCTTATTCATTAATTCAAACCTTTCCCCCAAAACACTTCTGTTGCTTTTCCTTTTTTAAAAATACAGTAAGAGATGGGACTTAGTGTATGTGTAAGGGATTCTGAGAGACCAATCAAAATTAAAAACAAGCTAGTTACCTTTTCAAAGTTAGACATAGTAATTTGTTTGCCAGCAAGAAGATGTTTGGGTCAACCCTGAGATAAAGTGACTGTCAGCAGTTATTCCTACAAGACAAGTAATTTCACTCAGTGTATTACTGACAGATTGCTCACTTGTCTGAATCACTAGAGAAAACAAACTTAATATTGTTACAGACAAGAGTTTCTGTCTTCATTAGCTTCAGAGAATGTTTTTTATCGAGTATTCAAAAGTCTACCAAGCTTTAGTTAGAAAATATTTTAACAGTTCTTATAATGATAGTATAGATAGTAGATTAAATGAAAAGAATTAAATTTGAAAAAAGTTAAAAATCAATATAAATTCATTTTCACTTTAATTTGATGGGTTTATGTGTAGTTTAGAGAAGATTTGAGGAAAGAAATATAATTAGAGCCTTAAAACACTAGCAAACCCTATCAACCATAAGTTATTTTTAAATGAGACTATTAAAGTCTTGCCAAGTTTGCAAAGATGGAGAACAATTGAAGTGTTTGCAAAAGCTAATACAAACATATTTTATTTAAATTGTATCAGCATTTTTTGTGCTACAAATGGGAAGTGAAGAAGTGCTCACCAAACATTGAGAATATTCTATTTCTATTTCAGTTCCAGTCTGAATCTTTCTGATATTGTATTTAGATGCTCTTTGGCTCATACCTTGTCTCTTCTTGTTTGCAATTGTAAACATGCCTCAGTGTTATGGAGGAATGAGATGGTGAGTTAACTTTGCTGGGACGGCTCTGAAGGTTGTGATTTCTAGTAGAGAGTTGAATGAAGAGTTGATAAGAGTTGCCTATTACTGGAGAAACAGGAATGCCCTGATTCAAAGCTTGGTTTGAGAATGCCAACCATGGTGTTGGGCTTTAATGGGAAATAGTTGCTTTTCTCTCAGTTTGTCTTTCCTCAACCCTTTTGACTATAACATTGTGGTGGAACTTGGAGGGACCATTATGACTAGGACAAATGAGCTGTGGACTAATGGCATGAGTTTCACGTTAGAATCAAAATCCTGGATTATAATTTTCATTTTAATTTACTTGCTATGTTCTACATAGACTGGTCTCAAATTACCGTTCCTGTTTCACTGTAAAAAGGAAGATAAAAAGTGGAATAATGAGGCATGTATTAAATTTTCTCAATTACCATTAGAATAGGAAAAAACCCTTAACGTTCTAATTAGCAATCAATTCTACTCTAGCTTTGATACCTAAAGTGCTTCTGAAGAGTACCCCTAATTTATTAGAACTTA